TTTTTAAAAGCAATGTATTACTGATGTTGGAAGAAAGCCAAGGTACAGGGCTAGATAGCAAAACTGAGCTATGAAACGTTACATATTGTGAGACATAGCATCCGCTCAGGCTTTTTTGTAGCTGTATGTATATATCTGAATACACATGCATAGAATTGAAACAAGCAGTTGAATGACTTTTAGTGACAGGACAAGGGTCGGAGCTGAAACAGAATGGAGGGCACGTTTTTGCCTCCTCTGCATTGTTTGGAATTTCAGAATGAAAATTTAATCGTCTATGAAGTACATCATTTTTCAACTCCCCCAAAGGTAAATGTGACAACCTTAACAGTTTATTTACACGTGTGTACAGCTTCATACAACTCTGTAAGAACTTGAATATCTTTAGCCTTATGAAAATCACAGAAGGGTTGGGTCAGAGACGTACTTTATGAATGCCTGATGAGATGACATCACAAAGCTCATCAAGAATCTTCTGGAAGGATTAGGGCTCCTGTGGAGAGTCGGCCTCTGTGTCAACAGAAAACTCCTCATTTGGCTGTTCTTCCTGTTTTTTCAAAAACTCTGCATAGTTTTGTTCGTTAATAAACTTGAAGGCACTCCATTTTTCATCATAACATCTAGGGAAGCGTCGGAAAGTTGCGATTACCCTGGCTTCCTTATGTACATAGGATGTTTGGTTATTTGAAAGGCCATCAAAATGCGATGGGATGAAGTCACAGGCCCAGAGATTGAAATTTCTAGAAATGTGTTGCCTTTTATCTGGGGAGATCTTCTTGCGTCCCAAGCCCTAGGGAGGAGGGACAAGATTAGGGGAGAGATGCACAAGGTCACACAGTTCTGAGGATTTCAATGAAATCAGCTAACAACATGCATGTACATAAGACAACCATTATGAAAGCCAACCTGTTGACTCTCAAAAGTCAACACCATCCCGGCAGTGCTTTATTGCTGTTCTGTTTTTCCCTTGTGACTGGACTTTTAGAGACAAGGAAGGTGAAACCAGAGGGACCCCAGCCATATATCTATAACCTGCTAAGAACCCTCAATTCCCAGGGAAGCACCACTCCCGACTACCTCTGAGGAGGCAGCAGATTGAATTCTTTTCCTACCCTTTTGGCATCTCCCAAGGGGAGCAAGATCTCTGGTCTCTGCCCACAGGCTTGCTTGTTAGCAGTTGGCAACTTACATGTGAACCTGAGAATCGCCATGTATTCAGAATTAAACATTTGATTCATCACAATGGGGTGGAAACTAAGAAAGAAAATGAATGTTGGCACAAAGGACTGAAAAGAGATAGACACCAGGTTTCACAGACCCTGCACCAATAAAATGAGGCTGACTGCTCACAAGGGCCCACCCATCATCCAGGTGGCAACAGGGCCTGATAGGATGCTTGAATCAGGATGAAAGAGAATCTACAAAGTACCACAGCTGGCATCTGCCTCCCTACTTCAACCACCCTCAAATCCAACTAATCGGGGATGGAAAATGTGTGTGTGTGTGTGTGTGTGTGTGTGTGTGTACCAGAAATACTTTAATCATATCTGAACTGAACATGTATAGACTTTTTCTTTACCATAATTCCCTAGATAATATTAAAACTATTTGCACAGCATTTACAATACGTGGTAAGTAGTTTAGAGGATATGTATGGTTAACATGGGTAATGTGGGAATGTTATGCATTGTCTATAAGAGACAAGCATCCGATGATTTTGGTATCAATAGGGGATCCCAGAAGTAATCCCCACAGATACCCAGGATGACTGCATTTACATACTGGAGACACAGTGTGAGGAAACGCCCAGGGGCAGTGCAATTGCTCCTGAAATACAGCCTGTTCAGACCAGCCTGTGAGGTAGAACAGGGAAGAAGGGGGGATAGAGGCTCTGGGGGGACAAAGAGAAGATGCTAGGCACATTGCATCTTTTGGAAAAGTTATTTGAGGATACTCCAACAAAATGAAAAAGAAATAAAAAGGAAAAAATAATATAGGGAAGAGCTTCAAGGAAAGTGGCCAGCAATAGAAGTCAAAATACTTGCAAAACATGTGGCCATGAAATATATTGGAAAATTAAGAGGAAGGAACAAGAAGGACCGAGCAGGAAGTGCTTGGTCATGGAAAGGGAAAGGAGGAGGGAAGGGAGGAAGAGAGGCAAGAGGGTAGACTGGAGAGAAGTTTTAGTCAGACTGGAGCAATCAGGACCAGTGGCTGAGCTTCAGGGCTCGTCCAGAGACTGAGAGAAGCCAGCCAAGGCCACCACCCTACCAGTCCCAGGGAAGAAAGAACAGAGGGAGGATCCTCAGAAGGGGCTCTTTATCTTCCTTGGGGAAGTCTGCAGGTGTTCATTTTGTATCCAGAGCGTAGTGCCTTGTTAGTACATATTTTAAACACTTGTACTTGAGGATAACTATTAGTAAAAAGTCAGCAGAAGTCAGGACAAGCAAGTAAATCCAACTGATAGAGAATTGTGGGGAGAGAGAACAAAAAGAGTCAGCAAGAACACGATAGATAAGAGACAGAAAGTGAGCGGCAGGTATAAAACCAAAAAACACACAACTGTCATAACAATGTGAATGGCTTAAATTCTTAGATGGAGAAACAATGACTCTTGGGTACACTCTGTTCATAATGGAAGATAAACCCAAAGCAAAATGACTAAGCTTCATGAAGACACAAATGGGATATCTATGTAACCCCCTCTCCCACCAAGACTCAGGACAGTTGTAGAGGAGAGAGCAGAAAGATTGTAAGAGCCAGAGGTCAGGGAGGACCAGAGTGAAACTCACCCTGAACCTGACAGGACTGTTGCACCTATGAACCCACAGCTGTTGTGACTGCCTGCCTAAGATCTGGACAAGATCAAGCTCGTCAACAGCCTAGCATGGACTAGGGAGGCTCTCAGTAGCCCCCACCCCTAGCTGAGGAGTTATAAAGAGGTGATGGCTTCTGGGAGAGAGGGTCTGTCTTCTTTAAGGGTATGGTCATGGGAGGCGAAAGGCTCCAGTGGATGCTCCCACAGCCATGAGTATACAGGCCTTGGTGGGTTATTTAAAAACAACAGAAAAAGGACATAAAGTTGGGAAGGCATGGGGAGCTGGGAGGTGGATCTGGGAGAAGTTAGGGGAAAGAATGGGGTGAATACTATCAAAATACACCATATGTGTATATGAAATGCTCAAAGAATTAGTAAAAATATTTTTTAATTCATAAAGAGAAAGGAACTACACTTTGTAGTGCAACATATGCAATAAAGGATCCATGACTAAAAGAAACACGTAATGCTGTGGCATCTTTCTCTGTCCACCAGTCAGCTCCCAAATAATGACACAGAGACTTATTATTATTTTTATGCAACAAGACCTGATACTAAATTTTAAAAGAAAAACCAAAAAGTGTTGAAATTTAAGAGTAACTTTTAGAAGCGAAAATTGACAAACCAAGACAAAGTAAGAAATATTTCATAACATAATTAACAGTCCTCAGCTAATAACTTTGTAATTAAATGAGGGGCTATATAATCTTTTTAATCACTAATGAGACACTTTAAAATTAATCACATGCAAAAATAATCTCTATGACTCAAAAAGTCAAAATCACAGAGTGTCCTCCATAAAACTTAATGTAACACCAAAATTAGATGTTAACAACAAATACGTAACCTAACAACTTCTGGCCACATTAGAAATTCAAGGAATCTTCCAAACAGCTCTATTAAAGGAGAAATTAAAAATTAAATAAAGATTATTTGGAGGCAAATACTAATCAGACAAATTAGGTCTGATTAACACAGGTTTTAATGATGTGTTTGCCTAAATGTTATTTGTTCATTTATTTTCTCATTCTGACTTCTGATACTTTCCTAATAGTTACCTACAAGTGTAAATGTTTAAGAAGTGTATTAACAAGGTAGTACCCTCTGGATATAAAAATGATCACGTGCAGATTTCTCCAAGAAAAGTATTAGAATTATTGGTTAGGTCTGAATAATAATATCTTCTTGGTATAGCCAGAACTAGAGAATATTCATAGTTTCAATCATCTCATTAACAAAAATGACAAGTATTTGAATTCAACTGTCAACTGAAGAATATTTTAAAGAATAGAAAAGTATGGGTGCTTTGATTGACATTACCATTAAATTTGAAATGGGTGAGTTAAATTTTAGGGAAACACATCATTAAACTCTATGTAATAGCAGGAAGTTTGAATAGACAGACTAGTAGTCAAGGTAAAATGCAAAAAGCTTGTTCTTAAAAGTGTATCAAACCCAAACCTAAGCAGTTTCATAAACCAAATTATTTAGCCAGGACCTCCTGTACAAACTACTCCACTCAGCTACCGGGCCTGTCCTGGGTCCTGGGGGCAAGTTCCATCAAACCACCATAAACTGACAATCCAATGGTAAAGTTATGTAAGCTATTATAGAACACAGAGCACACTGGGAAACCTCCAGAACCTTTCTGAAAGCTCTCATCACTCTGCCAAGGTGCGTGGGTCCAAGCTTGCATGTGTCATTAACAAGATACACACTCCGGTGGATCTGCCCACTAGACCCCGATCAGCAGTTAATCATCAGGGTAAAGAGTTGAAAAGAGAAACAGGGATGCAAATATTATTTGTAATTTTACATAAATCTGGGTTGACTTTCAAAAATATTTGTGTGTGTGTGTGTGTGTGTGTGTGTGTGTGTGTGTGTGTGTGTGTGTAGGTCAGAGGACAACTTGTGAAAATGTGTTATCCTTTTCCACCATGTGGGTCCCACAGATCAAATTCAGGTCTTCAGGTTGGCAACAAGCACCCACTGACTCATCTCACTATCACTTATTTGACTTTTTCAATGGACATATGTTATTGTGGCCGTTTAGAAAGCGTATTAGGTGGGGTTGGAGAGATGGCTCAGTAGTTTACAGCACGTGTTGCTATTGCAGAGGACCTGGGTTTGATCCCAGCATCCACATGGTGGCTGACATTTATAATTCCAGTTCTAGAGGATCTGACTGGGGCAGACCAGCCGCCACACTTACTTACCTCAGGAACTCTTGAGGAATGAGGAATAAGAGACTTAGAGAGTTAAGAAGCAGAGAGAAAACACAGAATAGACTCAGCTACGCCTGGATCCTTATCCAAATGGGCCCAGAGCTTTAGTCCAGAGGGCTATTTATAACAATGCCAAGGGGTGGAGCAAAAGACCTCCCCCTTGCTAGTTAGACCTTTACAAATACCTGGTACCCAGGCCTGTGGTCCAATCAACCTCTTATGCAGTCCTGTTGGGTACAGCCACTAGAAAACCTAGTGGGCTCAAATGTCTCCTTCTGACCTCCATGGGCACCAGGTATGCATGTGGTGATATGGTGCCCAGACATTCATGCAGGCAAAACACTCATACGCATAGAGTAAAATAAAATAAACATTTTATTATAAAGAAAACATTAAGCACTCTACTTGGAGAGGGCAAGGTGGAAATTCTGACTCTGTATTCAAAGGAAAAACAGGTTTTTAGGTTAAGCCACTCATGTTTACTTGGAACAAGGTTGTGTGGAGGGAAAGATTTCTCTGGGCATGATGTTTCATCTCAGTCCTTCTCAGTTTGCTCATTCCCATATCAAGGATAAGAGTAATTAGCCCATAGGAGTCTACGGGGCTTAAGCGGGATAATATGAAACAGTGGTGTGTAGTAAAGACTTCATAAACAAAGGATGTTGCTAACAGCACCTTTGTCACGTGGGTTTTCAAGTTTGGTAAGTGTTCCTGAAGCTCACCTGACACATTCTTCTGCCTAAGATACGCTCACCTGTGATGTCCAGTATAGTAGCTACTGGCCGCTAGTTACTGAGTGCTTGAACGTGAGCAGTTTAAACTGAGATTATAACATGTAAATCAGGTTTTTCAGGATTTAGTTTGAAAAGAGAGATGTAAATAACTGATTAATAATTGTTATGGGGCCAATGAGATGCCTCAGCAGGTCAGGGTTCTTGCCATTGAGCCTCAAGACTGAAAGTTGCATCCCCAGAGCCTACATAGTGGAAGGAGAGAACCAACTCCTGCAAGTTGTCTTCTGACCTACACACACACACACACACACACACACACACAAAACACACACACACAAAAAAGAAAAAACCACACACACACAAACATACATTTAGCAACACACACAGTAAATGTTAAAAAATTAAGTTGTTTTAACACTTAAGAATTTGTTAAAACATAATTTTATGTGAATTGCTCTATTACATGTTGAATTGACAATCTGGAGGAAATATTGGGTCAAATAAAATATGCAAATGCCCTTGGACTTATGGTCCAATAAACCCAATGGAAGCTGAAATATTTTAAGTTGAAAATGCATCGGGCATGGCCTTTGTGAGTTTAAAACAGGGCACATGAAGTTGAGAGGACAAAAAGTGGCCGCAGGGATAGAAGAGAAATTGGAGGGGACGGGACAGGGGTAGGTTAGATTAAAACACATTACATACATGCATGAAATTCCCAAACAATAAAAAATGTAATTCATTTTTAAAAAAAGAAACAAGATACATCTGGCCCACGTGACCTAGATTGGCAACACATTACACTGTAGAGCACTAAATTTGTCTAGTGGTGTCTTGGGTGGTTAGCTGGGAGCTGGGACCTAACGCCAATGACAGAGCCTCACAAGAAACAAAGATACAAAATACTTTATACCCAGCAACAGCCCAAGAAAAGGGCAAAAGTCTAAGTTTGAAGTTTTACCAAATCTGTTACTTCCATAGTATCATAAAGTTGAAACTTTTTAAGTATTCTATCTGTTTTATTAAATTTTACCTGGTCTTTAAATTTTCCTGTCACTGCTAGAAGTTTGAAAACTCTGCCTGCAGTTTGTTATATTTCTCTACCCAGTGCTATGCTAGGCTGCTAACAAGTACTGTCAGACCTTCAGCTCTCCAGTGGCAGGGGACTTGCCACCGCTGGGATAACTCGAGGACTCTCACAAGGGACAGTTCCGAGGGAGGACACTTTGTAAGCATGGCCTGTTCGTGCCTGGAGGCAGAAGGCTTGTGCAGGCTTGGAAAAACTCCACCGGCCCTGAGAGCTTCAAGAGGGGGCTTCTGTTGCATGACCTTTCGTGAACCTTGTTGACGACTCCAAGCTGTTCTGACTTTGTTCCAGTTTTAAGGAACACATGTCTCTCCATAATCTGTGCACCTTAGAAATCAAGAGACCCATCACCCCTCCTTATTCTACCAGTTGCCTGCTTGCTGAGCTGGCTATGGGCCCCTGGGTCCCCCCACATGCTAGGCAAGAGCTCTACAACTGAGCTATACCTCAGGCCCTACAAGTTTGCAAAGGGTACTCACAGCGTCAAAATAGTATCCAGAGTTCTCAAAACTGTGGCGATTGTCATGCATAGAAAAAGGGAAGCTGCTTTTGCTCGCTGCTTGCTGGAGAAGAACGAGGAGAGAGATGGAAAGGCACATGTCAGAACTGCGGGGTGACCTCAGACTGGGGCACAGTGATGGGCACGGAAGAGGGATGGGACAAAGGGACCTTTCAGTAAAGCTAATGAGGTCCATCACCAGCGTGGAGCACCAGCGTGGAGCAAACAGCGCAGGAGGAGGCATGTGGGCACAAGTGTGGGGCTCCCTATTGCCGAATCTCTGAAATCAGAAAAATGCTCTTTCAAAAATGTCTTTGGAAGTAAGGATGCAAAAGTGCATAGATGCACAGAACCAAAGGCTGGCAAGGACTTTTGACAGTGTGGGAGCCAACCTCTTATCTGACGAATAAGGATGGCGGAAACCAAATCCTGGAGACCTGACCAGATCCTAGAAGTCCTGAGGCCGGGCTGAGGCTCACAGTGAATGCAGTTGATATTGAGGTTAAAATCAATCTGCTTCCTCCTTCACGCCTTCACTGAGGCCGGGCTGTTGCTCATGAACTGACCAGGGAGGCAGACCATGGCTGGTAATGACTAAAGGTTCCTATGGGGAACCCCAGCTCATTGTCTGGACCAGGAGGCAGCTCTAGAGGCAGAGCACTTGGGTCCATCACAGGGAACCTGGGTATGACAAATGGGCAAATGAGCTCATTGTCTGACCAAAGTGCCAAGTCCTTGGAAGAGCCCTGGGATCCTGTATCGGGGCCCATGCTCGTCTTAACCTTCTCTCGGATTTTGTAGATTGGCGGCAGCTTCCTCTCCACCTGCTGAGACAAGTATGGACAGTGGATTTCCTTCAGGGTAGCAGTTGTGATGGATTCTGGTGTCTTCTGCACCACTCCAATTTGAGGAAACTGGAAACATAACATGTAGCTTGATTAGAACCAGACACAGCTGAATCTGTGTGCCAAGTACAGGCTTCCTCTGCAAAGTGATTAAAACACAGTTTGGGCACTTTTGGTATGCTGGAGGAATGGTAAAAACCCGTGTAACTTTGAAGTTTTCCTTCCAAACAAACATTTCAAGCCACAGGGGACTTTTCCTATTCACGTTCTCGGGGAACCTGGAAATGTTTCTACATTCTGGCAGAGAGCATGAGTGGAGGTACTGGGAGATGATAACTATGTGCTCTGAGAGCCCTGGCACGTGGAGCCTAGTGGCCAGCCCATGTTCTCGGGCCTGGGTCCACTCTCAGCCCTGGAAGTTGCCAAGCATGCTAGACTAGCTGGTCAACAGGCAGATCTTCTGTCTGCTTCCGTTGGGATTGCAACCATGTGCCACCATTTCTAGCTTCGCATGTGGGTTCTGGGGATCAAACTCATGTCCTTACACTTTACCAACTAAGCCATCCCCCCAACCCCCCTCTTCCCTTTTGAAGTACATCGGCTAACTTTGTAACTATCTCTCCATTCCTCCAAGTTAGGATCCAACTGTGTGTTCAGGTGGCTTTTGATTGACATCTGTGCAAGAGTGATTGTGTTATAAATGCTATCGATATTGTAGGTATTCTCTCCAGCTATAAAGAAGCTAGAAGACACATAGGACTTGGCAGAGTGGATGGAAGGAAGAAACAGGAGGAGTTATTGTTGAGAACAGGGGCCGTAAGGGTCAGTTTTGTGTTCAGAAAACACGGCACTGATATGGATATCTGGTATGAATCAGCTAAAATATGACTGACACTGGGCATTGGAGGACTGTGAGTCAGCACTAAATGAATGATACTAGATGTCCTGGGAACCCCAAAAATAAACAGTTACATGATGTGTCATATAACTATGCCTGGCAGAGTGCCAATTTTGTGTGGGTTCTGTGTAAATGTAGCCTTGATGTCAACGGCCCACCTCTTTCCAAGCTGCCTGTGAATTTTTGTCTGTAGGCTCATGTGTCACCTGCCTGTACGTGGCCAGGGTGTACCACTGCGTGCCTGGGTGCCTGCCAGTGGCTCCCCACCTAGTCTATGAAGTGTGTCTTATCAGGCTACAATTTCCCAAATTCTCTTCAACCTTCCAGGCTCCCGTGCGTGACTCTCCTCCTTTCCTGGCACTGGAGTTTGAACCTCACAGATGTATAACCCAGCACCATTGTTGTGACTGAATAAGCTGTGCACACAAAACAGTGGGGAACCTAGAAGAACACGGTATGACCAAGGAACTACCACCAGATATGTCTCAGCGGCTGCCTGTGGGCTGAGAAGAACGAGACCAATGACACCAAAACCACCAGGCAAGCCCACTGGCTTTTATGCATGCAGACCCTCCCCCACCCCCCCACCCCCGTGGCATACGAAACTGCCTATGGGGCCTCAATGCATTGTTCCTGGTGAGACTCATAATGTACATTGCTTGGCTTCAAAAACTCAATAGAAGAAAAACACAGGGAAACAGCCAGATCGGGTGGTGCAAGAATGTAACCCACGACACAAGAGGTTGAGACAGGAAGTTTGCCAGGTCAAGGCCTGCCTGGGCAACTCAGTGAGAGTCTGTGTCAAAAGAAAAAGTAAAAAAAAAAAAAAAAGCTGGGGACATGCTCAGTGGTAGAGTGCTTTGCCTAGCACGGGTTCAATCCTCAGAACCACGAAAGAAGTAGAGGAGATAACATTCCCCCCAAATCGTCACCACCACCTGTCCCCTTAGTGCTTTGGAGACTAGCATAACATCCTGATATAGACATACAATTCTACATATGGGTAGTTGGCATGCATTGGATCATATAGATAATATAAGAATTAAAAGGCTTCATAATTTTATAAGTCACATGTGGCCATGTGGGATGACTGATGTCACCCCTAAACAATGAATCCTTCTTTTTTTTTTTTTTTTTTTTTTGGCCTTTCAAGACAGGATTTCTCTTTGTAGCCCTGGCTATCCTGAAACTCGCTCTGTAGACCAGGCTGGCCTTGAACTCACAGAGATCCTCCTGTCTCTGTCTCCCAAGTGCTGGAATTAAAAGTGTGGGCCACCACCATCCGGCTTTTGAATGCCTTTTTATCACAGACCTTTTGTTAGCCTTCCCTTCCCTCCTCATTGCTGTGCCACCACCCGGGATAACAATATTAACGGAGCCCCCATGTGTTATATGTGAAAGGAACAAATACACTTTACAGAAGGCAGACCACATTGTCCCTGGTGTGTACCTTGCTTTCCTCACTTCATCACAGACACTAGAAAGTTCTCAACCAACTTACACATATTTCTAATTATTTCTGAATTAAAACTCAAAAGCATGTTCAAACAATTATTGTTCATGTGTGTGCATGTTCATGTTGAGGCTAGAGGTCAACCTTGGGTGTCATTCCTCAGGAGCTGTCATCTTGGTTTTTGAGGCAGAATTTCTCACTGGGACTCAGGGCCTGCCAAATAAGGAAAGGACAGCTGGCCAGTAAGTCTTAGGAATCTGCCTGTCTCCACCTCCCCGGCACTTGGCTACAAATAGACGCTGTCAATATCGTTTGTTTATATGGGATCAGGGAAACAAACTTGGGCCCTCATACTTAGGCAAACACTTTGCTGACTGAGTTATCTCCTAAGGCCCTACACGATGTTAATTGTTCACTTATTATTACCGTGTGCATATGTATGCACGGTATGTGCGTGTAAAGTGCATGTACATGGAGGTCAGAGAACAACTCTGTGGAGTTGGTTCTCGTCTTCTCCCTTGATGGGATTCCAGGGATTGAACCCAGGTTATCAGCTTGCGTAGTAAGTGCCTTTACCTGCTGATCTCGAAACAATCACTTTTAAAGGTAAGTATAAATAGTGCAAGTGGGCTCCAAGTGGAGCCTCTCTCTGGTTCCCTCCATCCAGCTAAGTTGCAACTCTCTTGGGAAAGCCATGAGACCAGGTTGGGGGGGGGGGGTTGCTGCTCGGACAGCCAGGACGATGGCTCACATCAACTGAAAACTGACTTGAGTTCATTTATATTCTGCAAGTCTGTGGACTAAATCACTGTTTAAAAATATGGCTCTGGCATTTTAATTTCACTCTTTTAAAATATATATTTAATGGCTATAGCATGATAGCTGTGGAATAAACCCTTCTGTTAGATAGTGTAACCGTGAAATACAGCTTTTTAACTAGGTGGTGGTGAAATTTTCACTGCCTTCCATCACTCAATGACTGAAATATTAAATAGGAAAATGAAAGTAAGTCGGAGGAAAAGAAAGTCTTTCCTGCCCAGCCACAGCCAGATTACAACCAGCAAGGTCAACTGCAAAATGACTGTCACCTCTAATGGGACAATTACTGTCCCCACAGATGGGCTGCAGCTGACTCACAGCCAACAGCTTCTTTAATTTTCCTAACTCATCTAAAGTTCCTTCCCGAAACTTCACGATCAGCACAATTCTTTTCACGCTCTTAGGTGCTGACAGCAGGGAGGACTTTTGCCAGAGGCTCAAGTTAAGCTAAGGATGTGGATGGACCAGTGCCTCTCTTTCTGACTCCTGGGTCTCGGGCTGCCCGGCTGGGCTTGTGGCTGGAAGATGACATGAAATGCTGACCCGTGATGTGTAGATTCTCACTTTGTCTCTCATAACAGAATTTGACGTCACTTGAAATGTCAATGTAGTTGATTTAAATAACAAGCTTCCTATACTCCCTTGCAGCTATATTTGCTATGTAAACCCATGAGCCTGCAAAGCTCCTGGAAAAAGTACTGTTTTCCTGATAAAGGGGGTAGCCTGAGAAGAGAGAGAGCTTCTGTATTATTGTCCCTTGATCTTCTTGTTTTCCTGCCTGGAGTGTAGACTCCTCACTACTACATGGCAAGGATTAGCTTGGCAATGAATATGGTTGAACAGAAGGCTGGAAAGAACCCAGGGCTCTGAAAACTCCCTGAAGCAGAGTCCTGCCTGCTTCTGCACTTTGCTGCTATTTAAGAAGAAACACAAATCTGTGTCTGGTTAAGACACTATCAGTCCTGCCCCTGCCATGCTGGTGACCAAAGCCCAAACCTAGGGCCTTGCACATGCTAATACATAGCACAGATTATATATATATATACTATGTCAGAATTAGTCAGTCAAATGCAATCCTAACTGATATTCAGATGACAGAAACAGGAAGCTATCTAGTGTGAGAAACATTTTTCCCACCGTGGGCCATTATAACAATGTGGCTGACACAGGTGAGGCAGACAGGTCTCTGAGTCTGAAGCAGACTGGTTAATATACTAAGATCCAGGCCAGGCCAGCCAGGGTGACATAGTAAAACCATGTCTCAAAAAATGAGTAAACTAAAATAAAATAGGATAAAATTAAAATGTGGCAGACACTATTTCCCATTTGACTTTGGCTCCCAGGGAACCCAGATTAAAATGTTTTCCTAGTCTCAGCCTCTTATTCGAACACATATTTATGCTGGCATTAAATTTTATTTTACTTAGACTTTTCTGTTTCATTTTATATATTCCACATACTACTTTTGATCTTAATGGACTAAAATGAAGTTTACAGTGTGAGTGTGTGTGTGTGTGTGTGTGTGTGTGTGTGTGTGTGTGTGTGTG